TTTTTTAAATTTGAATTTTCTCAAACAAATGAACCATACAACCACAATGTTTGGACTACAGTCATGAATTATAGCTCAAAACGAAGGTATATTCGTTAGCTGAAAGCCAGCATGTGCCTCATTTCAATCGGACCTACGGTTCTCTCGGGACAACGCCAGAAATGGAGCAAGGGAGGGTCACTGCTCCTATCTTTTCCCATTATAACTTTTGTGAATTTTTCTGAAAATTTCAAGTCGTACCTCAACTTCTACCTGCGATTTTAGAAAAACCGTAAAAGATATCAAAAAGCCTCTTTAATATGTTAAACAGGAAAGTCTTGTGAGTTTGTTAAACTTTGAATGAAGTCTCTAAGTTAAAAGGAACCCAATAGAGTTTTAGGTCAAAAAAGTGATAGTTATTTGCTGAAAATTGACCAATCCCAGTCATTTCAATGGGAGAATTTTTGCAGAAAAAGCTTAATAACTCGAAAAATTTTAAAGATATCAATGCCAAAAGTAACAGCCAGAAAGAACTTAACGAGCTGAACATTTTGATATAAAATTGTTGAAATAATTAAAAATTTGAAGGAGAAGAACAGGTTCAAAAAGTGTACGGAAGCAGAATAAGAAGAAAACAGGAAAACAATAGTTTGAATGCTTAACAGCATTCAAACAATTACTGGATCGCCACCAGAGCACACTAACTGGATGAATGTCCAGGACCAATGGATGAAGCACTTATCACACAGAAAAGGATGTTCTAACTAAACTATCCCCACAAGAAAGAAAAGCCATCTCGTCCCTCAGCAAAGACCAGAATATCACAATTTTACCTGCAGACAAGGGACGTTGTACAGTTATTCTGAATACAACAGATAACCTCAGCAAAGTCAGCACACTTTTGAGCGACAGCACCAAGTATGAAGTTCTAAAGAGGGACCCGACAAGCAGATACATGAAAATCATGGACCATTTACAGAAACTGCTAAAGGAAAAAGTAATCGACTGCTCATTTTACAGACTATATCCAGGTGAAGCCACCCATGTATACATGGTCTTCTGAAGATTCACAAGGACGGAACACCAGTCAGACTCATCTGCAGCAGCATCAACTCGGTCACATACAACATTGCAAAACATCTCTCCACCATCCTGGCTCAGCTGGTTGGAAAGACCCAACATCACATACAGAATTCGGTTAAATTTGCAAAAAAAATTCTAAATCTCAAACTGGTCCTAGGGGGAACCAATGTCTCATTTGATGTCACTTCACTTTTCACACCAATACCCACAGACAAAGCAGTGGAAGCAGTTATGAAATGCCTGGAACAAGATGATTCCTTAAATGAGAGGACAAAACTGACTCCAGACCAGGTGCGTACCCTCCTGGCCCTCTGCTTTTCTGCCACCTACTTCAAATACAACAACAAGTTTTACCTGCAAAAACATGGATGCACCATAGGGTTCCCAGGATCACCTATCGTCGCCAACATTTACATGGAGGAAGTAGATACCAGAGCGTTGAACTTGAACAATGGAACAACACCGAGCCACTGGTTAAGGTATGTGGACGACACATGGGTCAAAATTCTCACTAAGGAAGTAGAAGACTTTACCAAGCACATTAATGCCGTGGACAAGAACATCAAGTTCACCAGGGAAGATGCTCACAACAACCAACTACCCTTCTGGGACTGCTCTGTGCAAATCGAACAAGATCGGAGTTTCAGCATTGAAGTCTACAGGAAACCAACTCACACAGACCAGTATTTGTATTTTGGCTCACGTCACCCACTGGAGCACAAAACGTCAGTCATCAGGACTTTACACCATCGAGCTGAAAACATTCCCACAGACTGAAGGAAAGCAAAAGGAAGAGGAACACACAAAGAAAGCTCTCTAAAACTGCAGATACCCTAACTGGGCCTTTGTGAAATCTACAAAGAAGTCTGGAAAAGCATCCAAAGCAGCAACCAGCAAAGAAAAGGACAACAGATGCAAAGGCACCTCAGTAAACTTTAACCCAACAACACCCTCAGACAAAAACCGGTCCATCCAAAACACACAGCACTCAAACAGAAGCTTAGTAGCGTTTATGCAGTCCAATGTAGTGAGGACTGTCCAGACCTTTACTTTAGAGAAACTAAACAACAATTACACAAACGCATGGTCCAACACAGTAGAGCCACCTCTTCAGGTCAAGACTCTGCAGTACACCTGAAGGACAGGTGACACACCTTTGAAGATGACAAAGTACACATTCTGGACAGAGAAGATAGATGGTTCGAGAGAGGAGTAAAGGAAGCTATCAATGTTAAACATGATAAACCCACTTTAAATAGGGGAGGGCTTAGATTTCACCTTTCCAGTACCTATCATGCATCTTTGAATCTCATTCCTAAGCAGTTTCAGTCTAGCTCCCACCTTCCCGCTTCTAATCAACATGACTCCCTCTCAATAAAGCCTAACGACAACAACAGATAGCTACAGATTCTACACCTGTAGGGATTGGTAAATTGAGTGCTTTACGAGCTCAATATATATATATATATATATATATTACCTTTACTTATGACCAATAAGCTGTGATACTCTATCTAAATATAGAATATCAACCCTGCTTGGTCTTTGTGTGTTTATCAGAAGATTCCAGGATTCTTTATTTATTAGGGGATTGTAAACACTTCGTTTTGATTCAGAAAACAGTCAGGTTTATAAAAGTAAGGATTTATTTTACCAACAATTAAAACATGACAAGTTAACTAAGCATTTACTGTGATGTATGAAACCTATGTGTGAATGCGGTGTTAGTCAGAACTTCCGGGTCTAGGAGAGCTGAGTTCTGGATGTAAAAGAATTTGGGTTGTGATAAGCTATGAAGTTGATAATTGTCAAAAGCACATCAGATGCATTCTGTGTGTCTACTTCACCCATTTTCGAGACCATCTTGGTGGATCGGAAGGTCAGAGAGGTCGGCTGACCGCTGGCACCGAAGGGCTGTAGAATACCGTGGCACAGATGCTTCAGTCCAGAGATATCTCGGGTCACCACAGATGGATGGAACCGCGAGTCTGGGACTCTGAAGGAGTCTAAACAGTATCAGGTTGTTCTGCAGGAACTGTTGCTGTATCAGCTTCGCAGGTGCAGGAAGGTTTTGACGGCGTGTCAAAAGATTTGATGGTTAAAGAGGGTTTTGCTTCAGATGGCCGGTCTGAAACTCTCTCTAGAACTGCTGAATCACCCAGAGTGATCCAGTTTTAATGTTCTCATGTTATGATTTGTGTAGCCAACCAAAGATTGACAGGTTTGAGAAATGTTAGCAAGAAACTCAGAAACACGCCTTCTTTAATACCGGATGCTCTCATCTGGGTAAAGGACTATTTATGTGTCATGAGTTTAACTTAACCTTACTTTGTCTTTGTGTGAGTGCAAATGTTGATTACCTTGTCATATTAACATGCTGAAACATATTTCAATCACTGTAATCATAACATATGTAATGATTCGTTAGTTACATCTTAAGTAATGACCTGTAAAATGTGTGATTCCATAGGAAATATGAAATCAATTTGATGGATCTTTGTATATTACTTAAAGTTATATTACTTATTAAAATACTATCATAGGATTATAATATCAAGTAATTAATCTCTTATTTCACAGATTGATTGAACATTGAGCTTCACATGATTATTTGGACTAACAAGGTTATTCGATTATTATTTAAAAAGAAAGAGTTCTGTCTTCTTTCTTCTTTCCTGTGCTGTCTGGAGAAGCAACAGTTTAGATAAGAGCACCGAGCATGAGTGGCCTTGGAGTAACTCAAGACTGGAAGGGTCGGCAACTGCTGCATATCTACAGGTGTTGGTTCCAAGAGGGTCCAAGCTGGATCCCCAACATTCTGGATCTAAATGGGGACTTCCGCTGGGTATGTAGACCGACAGATGGCGTCTCAATGTGTGTTATAATCTTCAAACCTAAAGCTTAGCGCGAAACACCTTTTCACTCCCATCAGAACTAATCGTTTCTCTGGATTTGCTGGTTCTGAACATATTCACACATACACCATTCTCAGTCTTACTCCACCTTAGTTCATCATCCCATAGTGTTTAATGTTAGTCTTGTTTAATTTGTTTAGAAATAAATCTTTTAACTTTTTAAACCTGACTCTTCTTTTTCTTGAAGTTGATACGAAGTGTTGCTCAATCCCTGTAATAAAAAGATCCGATCTTCTGGTTAAATTTACTCAAAGAGCCATTGAAGGAGACATAACATGCTTTTAAGTTATTCCTTTTTACATCTAAATCCTTCAGTTGGGGTCTAAATACAGTGGAACTGCAGTTCTTTGGTCTTATTTCCTCATTATTGATGCTCTACAGACCCTCATCTACCCCTGTTCTGAGGAGAGTCTTGAGAACGAGCCGTTTTTGGGTTCTGTCTCTTTAAACTGGAGGAGGAGCTGTAAACTCCGCCCCCCTCCATAGTGTAGACCTGTACTCTCCTCCCCCAGTCGGACTTTGTAGTTCTATAGAGAAATCATTATTTAGCATAGCAGATTTAGCATAGCATATTAGCATTTTTAAAACATGTGGGGAGAGTAGTTCATCAAGCTGTTTCAAGGCTGCTAACTCTCTCATGCATGTGTCTGTAGTCACTCACACACACCCGTCACGGCCGACGGAGGGACAAGCAAGCAGGCACGTGCGCGCACACACACACACACACATCCGTCACGGCCGACGGAAGGACAAGCGAGCAGGCACGCGCGCACACACACACACAAGGAATGCTGCTTGCATATTTATTTCTATAAAAAATGTTTTAAAAAATGATACAGCTCATTAAAACACCATTAAAAGAATACATTTTATTAAGATCTCTATCTATATATATATTTATATACATACATATAATTATAAATAATTTTATAAGTAGTCTTATTTTATATTGGTGTCTTAAGGCTGCAAATGGATAAAAAGCAGTCACATTTTAATTTAAAGATTTGAGATTCTAGTCAAAAATAAAGAACATTCCTCCAAATGTTCTTTAATGTGATCATTATAATTCTAATGCTTACAACTTTGTTTTTATTGTCTGCAATGCGTAGCCTATATCTTTATTAAATATGTGTTTAGCTGTAAAGTGGTAATTCTCTCTAATGTGTACAGAGAGGTGGACATCAGTGCTGCAGTGAAATTCCCAAGATCAGTCTGCTTTGCTAACAAATATAGTTAAATCTTACCTGCATTCTAAATAAATACCGTTAGGTGAAAACATCAGTAGGCATTGAGTTATTGATACAATCCCTAACAGCCAGAATGGAAGAAGAGCATGCTGGGTCATCCTGGATCTGAGCCTGTTCTGTGTATTTACCTACAGGATGCAATAAATGTCTACAAGGCTGAGTTTGGACCATTACATCTAAAAGAAAACATACAATCAGTGATTTTTTTTATTGTTTACATTAATATACAAATTTTCTAAGTATTAACCTCACAGCAAATAAGTAGAACAATATAATAAACAGGCTTTAGTAGTTAAACAGGCGTTGTGCACACAGGTGCTTTGTGTCTCGGTGCTGGTGGTATCTAGGTCTCAGAGTTCCTGTCCTCCTGCCGTCTTCTGTTGTCCTCAGGATACGGATTGACGTTTCCTGATGATGAGGAAGGGGCAGTATGTGGGCTTCAAACTGGTCCTGGATAACAGTGGGAGACCTCCATTGTCTGAATACTGAGACCAGAGAGTTGGTGAGATGCTGATCTTCTCTACCTCATCTAGAAACGGAGTTGGTTCAGGGAAAACTTTTCCAAAGACCAGTTCCATGATGTCATCGCCATATTCTGCAATGATAGACAATAACATTAATGACATATTTTGTTTACAAGCAGCTTTAGGAAAGTTGTTTCTTTAGCTTTCATATTTATAGTCACGTTTGTGTTGTTTTGGTTTACTTTGTTCACAAGTTCACTTTGCTGCAGTGACTTCATATTTTCTTACAAATGTAATAAAATAGTGACACTAAAATTATACAAATGATTCCTTATGAAAAGAAACTCATTAGAGAGCAGCGCAGACAGACTTACTACATGCTGCAGCTGTTTTTGTAGGCCAGCTGCTGCTGAACTTGGGGAAAGTTATTCTGCACACATCCAGATCAGATGGTCGATTACAGAAAATAATGTAATTCAATAATTTCTAAACAGACTAAACAAGTAAAACATCAAATAAATCACTCTGCTGTCATCAGACGGAGTGATTCAGGGGGTGAGGTGTTCTTAATGATGAGGGTGGCTGAGGTGTGTCATCACTCACTTTGGTCTGGTCCAGACCGTCTCTTTACTGGTGGGTCTCCTTCCTCAGTAGGTGATGTGAAGCTCCAACATCTGAGCGTTCTGTGTTCCTTAGAGGAGAAGAAAAGTAACATTAGCAAGCTGGCTAAATTATTTTTACTAGCATCTCAAGGCCTTGGAGAAGCAGATCTTACCTAAACATCAGACCAGTTTGTCCCAGCTGAGCTCATCAGGGCTTTAGTCTGACAGCCTGTCAGTGAAACACGGCTCCAGCCTTCTGGATGTGGACTCTAAAAAGCAAAGGAGCATTTTTACTTTTGTTTTAATTATTTTACAGCTGATTTTATCAGCTTTCCGACGCTCACGCTCATACAGACGGTGAGCTTTGCTGCGTCTGACTGATGCAGAGTTAGTTTTTATATCTGCAGTGAGACAAAAAACTAACCTCACTTCACTCAGAGATCGTTCTTTAAAACTATTAAATCCACTGTGTTGATGCACTTTAATGACTTTGTCACGCTGCATTTTAGCTGATATGGGACTTTTATTTACTGGATGCTAAGATTACATCACACTCACGTAAAATAACACACAGGCTCTCTGCTGCTACAATCAGTGGATGTACATCTGGTGTAAAAGAAGGCGTTGATCAGAAATCACGTTTTATTCCACGAAAATCAGCCAAATCCACATTAATCTGGGTGCTAACTTTACTAGCATACTGTGCTAGCGATAGCAAGCCGGATGCTAACGCTTTAATGCTGCTAATGCCCGTAAATCTAAAGTAAAGTTTGTCGACATTTTAGAGTTCTATGAAGCTTACCGCTCTGCTGCTGTGTCCCGGTGCTGTCACATTCAGATGGAAATGACTCCTTTTAGATAGATGAAGCCCTCAGTACTTAGCCACTAGCCTGGAGACACGAACGAATGAACCACGCGCGCGCGCGCGCACACACACACACACACACACACACACACACACACACACACACACACACACACACACACACACACACACTACTTTTTCTTCTGTGTTTTTTTAGCAGTAGTGTCATCAGCTCCTGGGTTTAAATACTGCCACACCACCCTTCCTTAAAACGAGGAACAGTTTTGAGCTGTGTGTGGCTAAAATAACCAGACATTCTGCATTTTTCCAATAGGACTACAAAAAATCTTAGCGAGAAGAAAAAATGGCGGATTGGCTCTGTGTTTAGCCGAGGGCCATTACCATATTTGGTAGTTATCCTGACGAAATAAATTACTGATGTAATAGATAATTTGAAAAACTGAACGGGTGGACAATTATGCCCAAAACTTAATTATTAAATATCTAAATAGCAACTCCAGTGAATAATATAAGCCTTTTTGCTCACTTAGACACTTAAAATGTGAAACACACTGGGTTAATGGATAAAAAAGTGGGTTTTTCATGTTATGTCTCCTTTAAGGTGATATTTCATATTTCATGATATTTCACATTTATGGTTTCTAATTAAATGTAACGACATGTTCTTTACATATTACGTTCATTTCACACTTCAGTCATTGAGCACAGATTAATGAAGCATTTCATTGTGTTATAACTATTATAAGTAGCAACAAACAAATGTTTATTTAATGATTATCTAGCTTGTAAGTTGTAGAAGTTCATATCTGATTTATGAAATCATTCTTTGACTTAGCAACTGATCCGAGCTGGAGTGTTCCTTATATGGAGGCATGAAGAATCCTGAAAGATTGGACCTTGAGGAGAAAATGTTATTGTTGACATTTCATTATCTGTGTTCAGAGCTGCAGGCTCTGAGCTGATGGGATGAAGGCAGGCCAATTTAAAGGGAACACATGCAGTATTGTCAATCAATCAGTTAACCAATCAAAGCTTTATTTATAAAGCGCCTTCCGCGACCCTGTCGGGAAGCCCAAGGCGCTGAACATGGTACATGAGAAAAGTGAAATATGACAAATAAATTGAAAATAAAAGCAATTCAAATAGTGGAAAAAAGGTAAAACATTAAAGTAGAAGACAAATGGGTAAAACAAGGGATAAAGAGACCAATGAAAACAGGGAAATAAAATCAACATAAAAGAGGGCCAAATTCAAACACATTCAAGGAACGCCAAGCGGAGGAGGTGGGTTTTTAGGTGACTCTTAAAGACTGGCAGAGATGGGGACAGCCTAACTGAGGGTGGCAACTGGTTCCAGAGTGATGGTGCTAGGACTGAGAAAGCCCGTTCCCCGCGAGCACGACACCTAGAACGAGGGACAACGAGCAGGCCTTGGTCAGAGGAGCGCAGAGCGCGTGATGGGGAATGTCTGTTCATTGTGTCTCTTTTTTGACCGGATGTTGAATAGATGTTGAATGGTCAAACTGTACCTAAAAACTGACCATTGCTGGACGTTACAAGCTTGACTCTCCCATATCTACACCTCCCTCTACTACCCCCACTTGTCCAGATCTGGGCTAACATCAGATTTCAACCATAGGCCCTATCAAATAAAATTGTTTTAAGCCTAGTCTTAAAAGTAGACAAGGTGTCTGCCTCACGGACTAAGGCTGGGAGCTGGTTCCACAGGAGAGGAGCCTGATAACTAAAAGATCTGCCTCCCATCCTATGTTTAGATATTCTGGGAGCCACCAGTAGACCTGCAGTCTGAGAGCAAAGTGCTCGGTTAGGAACATATGGAACAATCAGATCACTGATGTATGATGGAGCTTGATTATTACGAGCTTTATATGTGAGAAGAAGGATCTTAAAATCTATTCTGAATTTAACAGGTAGCCAATGTAGGGAAGCTAAGACAGGAGAGATATGATCTATCTTTTTAATTCTCATCAGAACTCTAGCTGAAGCATTTTGGACAAGCTGAAGACTTTTAACTACATTCTATGGACTTCCTGAGAGTAATGAATTACAGTAATTCAGTCTTGATGTAATAAATGCATGAACTAGTTTTTCAGCATCATTCCTGGAAAGGATGCTTCTAATCTTAGCAATGTTCTGAAGGTGGAAAAAGGAAATCCTACAAACCTGTTTGACCTGGGATTTGAATGACATGTCCTGGTCGAAGATAACACCAAGGTTCCTTACTTTGTTCTCAGAGATTAATTTAATGCCGTTCAGGTCAGGTGATTGACCAAGCAATTTCCTTTTCTGGATTTCAGGTCCAAAGATGAGAACTTCCGTCTTGTCTTGATTTAAAAGCAGAAAGTTTAGAGTCATCCAATTTTTTATGTCCTCAAGACAAGCCTGTAATGTACTTAACCGATTAGGTTCATCAGGATTATTGGACAGATATAACTGAGTATCGTCAGCATAACAGAGGACGTTTATCTCATGCTGTCATACCATCCTCATTTTCCCTTGAGGTTCGTGCTGGTGTTTCGAGATTAACAGCATGTTAGACATCTCCCATCACCTTTGGGTCTTGGCACATGTGACCCAAACAACTTTCAGACTGAAAGGTCTGAGCTGCAAACCGGAGAAGCATAAAAACAGGGTGGGAGCAAGCATAATGGAATCCAGAGAACAGAGACAAATACAGGAAAATCAAGAAAAATTACAGTCTTTCAATCTCACAATAATCCACAAAAGGGTAGCAAAACAGTTTCTAAGACTGCATTATTTAAAACAAATGAAAAACGTTTGTTCTTAAAGTTAACATGCATAAAACGAAAATATAATAAAAAGTCCAAAATGAGTCCGAAGAACATCCACTTTCTTAATTATGAACGGCCATAGGGAAGGGTCCTTCAGCCATCTCTCACTGGCACCCTCGTCCTGTAACAGTCACATCAATCACAGCAGTGGCCTCTGATGCACCTTTACCAGATGCAAGCAAGTCCACCCTCTGCTCTGCCGCCAGTCACACATGTCGCGTCCCACTTGTCGCTGCTCCAGCTGCAGGGATGGGATACTCAATGCTGTCTCAGCATGGGTCGCTCCACTTTTAAAACATGCTCCCCGGTTTAGGTATTTTGTAATCCTTCTGCTTTCTCACCTCACGTCCTGCAGCCTGCCTTCCTTTTATCAATCAATCAATCAATCAATCAATCAATCAATCAATCAATCAATCAATCAATCAATCAAATTTTATTTGTAGAGCACCTTCTACAATGTTATCAGAAGCCCAAGGTGCTGAACAGCATCATTATAAGAAAAACATTCCCAGTACCTGGGCATAAAAGCAAGATAAAAACATAAAATCATAAAATATCAAGCAAACAACATTACAAATAAAGAGAGATAACGGAATAAGACTAATCGATCAAAAACAAATGGTGGACAAAATAAAATCAAGCATCTGGGTTAAAAAGAAGAAGTATTAAAACCATAATGTCAGGGCAATTCAAAGAACCCTAGCGCTAAAACGCAATCAAATAAAAATGAGTCTTTAAACGAGACTTAAAGACTTGAAGGGATGGTGCCTGCCTAATGCTCAGTGGCAATTCGTTCCACAGAGTTGGAGCCAAAATAGAAAAAGCACGACAACCCCTCGATCGATATTTCGACCGGGGGACCACCAGAAGTTCCTGCTCGGCTGAGCGAAGAGACCGAGATGGAGTATACCTGTGCAAAAGCGCAGTAATGTACGAGGGGGCACTGCCCTGGAGGGCCTTATAAACAAGAGTTAAGATTTTAAACCTAGCTCGATATTTTACCAGGAGCCAGCGCAGAGCAGTCAGCACTGGGGTAATGTGCTCTCGACATCTAGTACCTGTCAGGAACCTAGCCACTGAGTTCTGCACAAACTGGAGCCGTGCAACCGTGCACTGGGCCAGACCAGCATACAGAGCATTAGAGTAGTCCAGCTGGGACAGGACGAAGGCATGCAACACAGACTCCAGATGAGCTCTGGACAGCAGAGGCCTAATCCTGGATAGTCTTTTCAGGTTAAAGAAACAGGACCTCACCACTGTATTTACATGAGTGTCAAGATTAAGTGATGAGTCGATTTTAATCCCCAAATTACTGACCATTTTCTTTTCATAGGGTGTCAATGGGCCAAGGTCAATATCAGCACCAGAGCCATTTCTTCTGCCTGGACTAAGTATTATGACTTCTGTTTTGCTCTCATTTAGGTGCAAAAAATTAGAAGCCATCCAACATTTTATGTCCTTCAAACAATCCAGTAAAGGAGAAACAGATCTATCCTCCCCACGTCGAAGAGGGAGATGTCATCCCAACTCTGTTGGCACCTAATCAGCAGTCTCAGGACACACCCACCCCTCAGTAGGTACTGTCATTTAGCAGAAATGTCCACAAAGTCCATAGTGGATCAAAAATAAAAACGCTGAGAAACAACATGCAATGAATACCAAACTCAAAAGCTGAAATAATGCAAGTAAAACAAAACTACTCAAATCATTACACAGAATTTAAAATGTTCCCACCGTGTGGCACAGCTCCAGTCACTACTCAGCCCACTGAGCTAAGATGAGGGAGCCTGACATAAACTGCCTGCGCCTGCACTTCAAAACATAACAATAATAACTAGCATGCTAAATCACCAACATATCACATTTTGACACTTGTTTTCTTCTTCTTCTTTTCTTCTTGTTTACATTAGTCCACTAAAGACACCCTCATCATGCGGTTTTTAATCTACAGAATGTCTGATTCATTTTTCAGGCTCAGGAACAACTTTATTAAACTTGGCATCATTGCTGAGTTATTGTGTTTTCTAAGGTTTTAAGTGGCAACGACACACACTTGTAAACAACAGTAGCACATGTGATACGATGGAGCTACTGTTGTTTTTAAACATAGACATTTCCATTGCCTGGATCAGTACATTGGTGTCTCCTCTGCAGCCCTGCTGCATGCGTGTGTCGGACGAATGGCCCATCCTTTACAAGCAGCAGAACTCATCACTCAGTGGTACCAATATTGTAACTGAAGCAGCTGCAGAGAAGGCACTAGATCTGGAATTAATGAGAAAAAAGCTGCAAAATTAGTGAATTTCTTGTTTTTGCACAAAGCAGGGAAGTGCTGCTTTTTCCTCAACACACTGGAGGGTCTCTTGTTTGTTTTGTGTGTGTGTGTGTGTGTGTGTGTGTGTGTGTGTGTGTGTGTGTGTGTGTGTGTGTGTGTGTGTGTGTGTGTGTGTGTGTGTGTGTGTGTGTGTGTGTGTGTGTGTGTGTGTGTGTTGAGCATGAGGATGCCAGTTCTTCCACAGACCCCACTTTGCCCCGAGCCTCCAAGCTGTGAAAACACACTGGAAGTTTGTTGTTTCTCGGTGGCTAATAAGGTGTCATTGTGCGGTTTGAGCTGTCTGATATCCCGCAGAGTTACTAGGATCCCGTGAACAGATCTATTTCACATGTATGCGCACATGTCCAGGGCTCCATGCACAAAATCTGCCTTTTTTCCAAAAAAGTCTGCACTTTGAATGACACAAGAATTTAGCATTTGCTATGCATTTTTTTCTTTTTTCAAAGTAAAATTTTGCTCTTGCAGAAATACCATGTTGCTCTACAACTGGAACCTGCAACATCAAAGCACTCGGCTTTCAAAGGCTTTCTTTTACAGTTAACTTGAGGACTCCTGGCTCCTATGTGTCCAGACAGCTTATAAAGAGCTTTTTTCATCATCTGCCCCAAATTCAACACCCCAAATCCTCCTGCTTCGCCATGGGGCTTCTGCTATCAAGTAAATCCTGATACCATGTCTGGATTTCCTTAAGAATGGGACTTTTTGAGACTGTTGCTGAAGGAAAACGCTGTCATCCAACTCTGCTGCTTGACCTGCTAAGTCTGGAGGCTTGATTAGAGGCTATCTGGAGCTGCTCTTTGAAGAGCACACTTCTGGTTTTCCTCATCCTGTGCAGTTGATCCATCTCTCAGAACTGGCACTGGACTCGCTGTGGTCAGACTTTAATGGAGTGAACATGAAAATTGCTGTCAATTGTGGGAGACTTGTGCATGTGGAGGACTGTGGTTTGTTATTTCAGCAGATACGAGCAGGCTGATAAAGAAACATGACTGTCCTAGGCCCAAGTAGAGAAAATAGACAGGTCTCTGTGGATCCGACTCTGACTCAGTGAGTGAGAGCCTGAGCCGTGTCTGCTTCAATGTTACCTCTGGGAGGGCTGGTTAATGATGCTTCAGGGTCACTCCTGGCTGATGTGTCAGGTTGCATGAGTCAGTTATGTATGTTGGTCTTTACAATAACACCATCCTACTTCTTCTTCCTCAGTTATTTATCAATGATCAATGATCCAGTCTAGAAATCACACTGGAAACCATTTAGCTCTGATAGTCTCCATTAAATGTACTCTGTTTTTTTATTCTGACGGTCTGTAAGTGACTGATGATGGTTCAGTCTTTATTAAAGATCAACACAGGAGGAGCTGTCTTGATGACATCATATTATTGAGGAGCAGCTGTGTTTTCTCATGGCAGTAGCCTTGAACTCTACGAGATTGTAAAAGAAAATAAGTAAAACTATAGTGCATTTACAAGCTTGGTTTAGAGACATATCTAAATATTTGCACCAGTTCATGAACCTTGACTAATTTATCTGATTAAACTAATTAAGAATGAAAATCAGTTACTGACGCAAGAGAACAACGAGGGGACATATTTTATTTTCTCCAGAGGTTTTATTGTAACCATGAAAGAGCCATGAATGTTTTTTGACATTTCAACGGAGCTGTGACATTGTGGAATCATCATGTCATCTCCACCCTCCACGTCATGTTTTTGTTCTGCTCAGAAACTGAACCGGGTTCATTCACTGTGCTGACTGAAATCACCTGGTTTTGTTGCTGAGCAGAACAAAAACATGACATGGAGATGACTTGGTGATGCCACGATGTCACACCTCTGCATTTCAAGTCACCTCCAACGGCAATTTCAACCTTCTCTAAGATGCAAATTTGTTACATAATAATTGTGTGTTTATGGACATGAAGGGATGCTGAAAAATCCCTTCCCTCAAATTTCCACTGAGAAAGCATCTTGTGATTCTGCTTTGTCACCAGGTTAAAGCCAGATTAGCCTAAAATGTCTAAAAAATGTGTGAGATCAAATGTTTTTCTATCTTCTGTTTTATTCTGAAGCACAAGCTCATCGAACTATCACATAAACATGACATGTTAATCGTCTGACTGCTCCCTTTGTGGGCTGAGAGGAGCAGAGGGATTCACCTGTCTGGTTCTGCAGGTATTGAGATCAGCACCATGGACAGAGCCAGCAATCAGGTGAGCTCACCTCCATTAGGCCTGAGCAGATTTCTTTTTCTAAGTTCATAATAAAAATATTTGTGGGGTACAAACTTTAATGTAACTTTAATCTGCTGTACGTTAAAAGTAGATATGAGCTACAGCTGATCAAATATGATTAAAAAGTTAGTCTCAGAGTTAAAAAGGAACACCAAGCCACTTAAACAAGCCAGTGTTTCCCCCTGAAACAATACTTCACTCTCATGCCTCCAAAAAGATGTGAATGGATGTTTCACTAGTGTTGTGACCTCTGACCCTGACTGCCCCCTTGTTTCCTGAGCCAGATGCTGCACAGCGCTTCTCAACCTAAACAAAGTAATCCTCCACTAAACAAGATGGATATTGTATCAGTGGCTGAGTTAATGCCACGAACACACAGAGCCCCTCTCATCTCTGATTACAAACAAATACTTCCTCTTTGCAGCAAACCAGACGCTGATATTGACATTAAAAGGCCCTCTTGTGGGGGAATTAAAGCACAAGGTTAAACCTTTAGGTAGTGATTTTGGTAACACTTTACAATAAAGGGCCCTTATTGTTACTTAATTAATTATTATTTATTAATTAAGTAATGCATTACTAAGCAGACACCCCCTCCCTGGCCCTTTGGCCTAACCTTAAGGAATCTTAACAGTTAACAATAAGAAAAATGTTAATAAAGGGACCATTTGTTTATTAGTGCTTAGTAATGCACCAAGTCACAGTAAAAATGAGACCTTCATTGTAAAATGTTACCTCGTTAGACTTGTGAAAATATTTGATCAAATGAGAAAACCACAAAAAGTTTACTGGGTGGTTTTTACAGACAACAAGGCAGGTGAATTCAAGAAGATCATTTAAAAGAAATAAACACAAAAAAATCTATTAACAAAGTAAAGGACATTTATTCATTTTGTTTACTTTTTAGTTTGAATTTGTTCTGTTTATATTTTCCTTCTCATCCCGGATGTTTTGTAAAAGTGAGATCTGGCTACGGTCACTCCAGCACTAGCTTAACCAGAGAGGCCGTTGCAGAAGCAAACGGATTTGCTCTGCAGGTCGGTCTAGCCTCGCTCCAGTGCAACCTCAGCAGGACCGAACCGTTTTGTGCAGTTTGGTGGGTGGGATGTTACTGCGACTGAGTGAAACAGAAAAGGTGATGATGATTTGTTTGAAACGGTTTTCGGCATTAACTCTGGACTATTTAGACTTTGGCTTTTCTTTGAGTCAGTAGCAGATAGAGGTACTGAAGTACTTTACTAAGGGAAAGGATGTATTTGTATCTTCTTCAGCGGTGTATGGCGAACTGCCCCGTTGACTGACACCCGCAGCAGTGAGTGCATCCTGTTGTTTATTATCCAATAGCATGTGGAGACAGTTTGAAAGACAACCATAGCTTCTGAGATGTGCAATGGCATTAAAAGTGTGGAGCACAAGATTTTTAACTTGTGAATTTTGGGTTTTCCACACCTGAGACCTGGAACCATTTTCAATCTGATCAGCAAAATGATGTGTTTTCATAAGAAAAGTTTTATTTATTTATTTATTTATTTATTTATTTATTTATTTATTTATGAATATCTTAGTAACAGCTTTGTGGGGGTAGCCTGGCAAGCCATATTGGAATATATATATTATAGCCTGGCCACGACCCATGGAAACAACCCAGCCGTAGAGCAGAATTTATAAAGACAATGGTGGTCCTGGATCATTAACAAGGAAACAATCATGGGCTGAGGACAGAGCCTAGGGGAACCCCTTTCTGTATAAATGATGTGGGCGCTATCTTACAGCCTGTAAACATCCAGCTGCTTTTTTAGAATATCTGTCAGAAGTTGGTTCTAAAATAAATTAATGTGGGACTAAAACGCTTTAGATAAATTCAAAAGCATTGCTTGTCCTCCTGAGCTTGCCACTGATGCCCTCAAGAGTGTGTGTTATTTTTTAATATTATCTTGAATGTTATGGTGAGAAAAACTTGTAGGTAAACGTTATTTCTGTTAGATTGTGCTGATTTATTTTTCCTTTTGATCCCATTTTCGTTATGAAACACGATTCTTTTATTTTCTAACTGATAGGGTTCATATTGTTTACTTGAGTAAATCTACTTATCTTTTCCAAACTCAGCCTCTCGTGTCTCAAACTGCTTGGATCCACCCACCCCGTCCCCCCACGTCACTCACCCTCTCACCCAATCACGCCCCTTTCCAAAAAAGTTTTCGCCGTGCAGTTTATAAGAACTGCTTAAGTTTCTCAAGTAACAGAAAACACCAGTCAGCTCAGGAACCTCATTTATGGATTCTCTGGTGCCTCCAAAGCCCGACAGGACTTCAGGTGGACCATTTCTGACTTCATGAAAGGGGAGTAAGTTTTCCTCACCCTCTGTCTACCCAGGTGGAGATGTCTGAGGAAAATCTGGGGGAAGAGTCGGGCAGTTCCCCCGTCTCTCCTGTGGACAGCCTGAGCAACAGTGAGGGGGAGCCGGACAGGCAGCCGAAGAGGAGCGGGAGGAAAAGGAGGGTAACGAGCAGGAAGAACGGGGAGGACTCAGATAGCCCCACTCCTGGGAAAAGAGGCAAGAAGTCCACCACTAGCAGCAGCGGCAGCCCGCAGTCCTTCGAGGAGCTGCAGTCGCAGCGCGTCATGGCCAACGTCCGGGAGCGCCAGAGGACGCAATCTCTGAACGAGGCGTTCGCAGCTTTGCGCAAAATCATCCCCACGCTGCCATCGGACAAACTCAGCAAAATACAGACGCTGAAACTTGCAGCCAGGTACATCGACTTCCTCTGCCAGGTGCTGCAGAGCGACGAGCTGGACTCAAAGATGTCAAGCTGCAGCTATGTGGCGCACGAGAGGCTGAGCTACGCCTTCTCAGTGTGGAGGATGGAGGGCGCTTGGTCCATGTCAACATCTCACTAACATCTGGAGACTTACTTTAGCCCAAAATGGTACGCCTGGTTTTTACTCTTACACTGCATGATCAGTTTTCAGAGAACTGGAAACTTCAGCAGATTCTAAACCTCCAGATATTTGTTTATTGTTTACCTTCCTGCAGTTTTAGTGACAATAACAGCCGGTGTGACCTACAGGTGACTGCTGCATTCTTGATTTCTGAAGGGAAACTCTGGAGTCCGATGCTGGATACATGGGATCACTAAACCAAAGACGTCTCTCTCTCTCTCTCTCTCTCTCTCTCTCTCTCTCTCTCTCTCTCTCTCTCTCTCTCTCTCTCTCTCTCTCTGTGTGTGTGTGTGTGTGTGTGTGCGTGTGTGTGTACACACGCTTCGGGGGAAGCAGCCGTGGCCGTTTGCCCCAAACTCCCGATTACCGATGGGGTTTTCCTGTTGCTGACGACGAATGTTGGATACACACTTTTATTCTGCTTCCATGTTAAACTGCGTAGGGGTCAAAGTGCACCCTTGAAGTGTTTTTGGCGTGAGACTGAAAGTAGCTGACATTTGTGGCTCGAACCTGTGCAAATCCTTTTCAGAATGCATTTATTTATTTATTGGTGAAAAAAGTCGCATTCAGGAAAGAATCCTGTGTCTGAAATAAATGAAGAGAAATCACATTGATATTTTTTATTACCAATTGTTTTTGTAAATGTTTGCATATTTTTTGCAATAAAGAAAAATACGACGGAAGAACCGACTGTTGTCTTATTTAATGGGAGTGGTTCATAAAAGGAACTGACCTGTAATGTTTATTATGTGAAGTGCCTTGAGACGACTCTTGTGATTTGGTGCTATATAAATAAACTTGAATTGAGTTGAATTGAAATAAATGATGGGGCAACAT